GTGGGTGTCCAAAATAATCTTACTTTTAAAATCCAAACTCTCAACAACCAAGCTCCTTGTTATTGTTCCATATTTTCCAAATGGAGCACTGTACTCTCAGACTGCAGGTTTACTTGTGGTTTCTAGAGTCTAAAAGTAGAATGGGAGGCAGAGCTTTCAGTTATCAGGCTCCTCTCTTGTGGAACCAACTTCCAGTTTCTGTTCGTGAGGCTGACACAATGACTACTTTTAAGACTTTCCTTTTTGACATATAGTTAGGGTTGGCTTGGGTTTCCTGATGTATCCCTTAGTTCTGCTGCTATAAGCTTAGACTGCCGGAGGACAAACTGACCACGTCTCCTCCCTCTTTACTCGCTCTACTCCATGTTTGTACTTTTGATTATTTCTATCATTAACATGTTTTCCCTCTCATGGAAAACTTCACCTGGAACATAGAAACTACAAGCACCGATTTTTCTTGTTGAAACGTTTCGTCTTTTATCCAAAAGACTTCTTCAGGCTGAGAAGCTGCACAAAACTCAGTCTTATAAATAGCACCTTCTCTTCTCTTTCTTCTAGTGGATCAACCAGGCTGCTGGAGACACCCAGAACTAGCTGTTCACCCGCTTCGGATGTTATCATCCATTAAATGGCCATTATTAGTTGTTATCAGCCCCATATGTAGTGTTCAGACTGCCCCTCCTCTGCCTCCTAGTAGGTTCAAAAGTACTTTCTTATCGCTGATAATACAGTCACGTGGTTATGTTAAGAGTCAAGGGTCTGGGGGTTAAGTTTAGGGTCAGTGGTCTGGGTCAGGTGTAAGGTTAGGTTTAGGAAAAGTGTTGCATAAAGCTAACTAAAATACACTTGTGGTTTTACACGCGAGCCGCGATGCATATTATCACCGATAAAAACGTAACTTGAAACCTACTAGGAGGTAGGAGGGAACAGTCTGAACACTACCTATGGGAATGATAACAACTAATAACGTCCGTTTAATGGACTGATAACATCCGAAGCCGCAATACCCCGATGGCCGCTTGCTACAGTGGATCCACCAGTACCAAGTGTCACTCAGCCCTCTGTGAATAGCAAGCGGCCATCAGGGCTCTAACGATCTATTGTTGGGCTGACGGTCCTCCTTTTGCACGTGAACAGCTAGTTCATGGTGTCACCCTTAAACTGGTGCATCCACTATGAGACGGTGCTGCTTATGAGACTGAGTTTGTTGCGGCTCCTCAGACTGAAGAAGTCCTTTGGATAAAAGACGAAACGTTTCAAGAAGAAGAATCCGTCCGGAGGACCTGACTCTGCCTTGTTAGAGCTTTCGAGCTGATCATTGAGCAGCATCAGAACGTTCTTCTAACTCTTTGTTTTTTTATGCGAATGTTGAGACGACTTGTGTTGCGGATGGTGCTGTATAAATAAACTGAATTAAATTGGGTTTTATTAACTGTTTTAAATGTTTAGTGAAGCTGACATATGTTCAACATCTATACATGTTATTATAGCAGTAACAGTATTTACAGTAAGATCAGAAC